GCCGGGACGGAGCACGCCGGGTTCTCACCGGACCAGGCTCTCACATCACCAAGCGCGAAGCGCCGTGAGATATTCGGCGAGTCGCATGAAGGGTGCGCTGCATCCTGCTAAGGGTGTCCGGCATCTTGTGCTTACTTCCTTGCGTACGGATGACAGCAGCGTATGACTTAATTTATTTTCTGGTGCTTTCACTTCCTGAGACACTTGTAAGCACTGTGTAACTGCCTTGAGGGTGCTTGACCATTTCAACACAACGTGGTGCGATCATCCCCCTTGCGCGGAGTGGGTTCTCCACCCCGCACAACATGATCTACTCGACCACCATTATGATTACCGCCAAAAAAAAAAACGGAGGTAAAAAAAGAAACTGTAACCTGGTTGCCGAGTTCACGAAGTGAATTGGCTTGTTTTACAACGTCGTTGCCAAGCGACGAAAACCCAATCCCGATGGCAAACACCGGGGGGGGAGGGTGTGGGGGGAGGGGAATAAGCCAATCAAGGGGGTCGATCCAGCACAGCATTTCGCGCCACTCGGTCCGCCTCTTCGCTTTGCCTGACTTCACTGGCCGTCTCGTCCGTCTGATGCACCCCTCCCTCCCCGGCGGTTGTTGCCATGACCGTGAGGTTGCCGGGCTTGTTATTTCGTTTGAGCGCTCCTTGTCGCCTAGCCTCCTCTTCCTTCTCGTGCCAGCAGGTCATGAACCTCTTGACTCCCTGCAGTTACCCCGTATGACTCGGTACACCCCGGTCCACCTTCGCTGCTTCCATCCAAGTTGTTTGAGGGACTCCAAAAAAGCATGCGGCTCGGTGTCCGTAGATCCGTGCCCATTGTCTCGAACATCTTGAGGTTACGTCCTTCAGGCATTTCTGCCAGTTTTGCTCCTGGGGCCTTCCCTCCCCCACCAGCATCGCCAAGCATCAACCGTTTCGGGAGTTGCCGTCTGTCTGCCTTGCCAATGCTCCCGCAAACAGCAGGCGCCGTTGCCGAACAGTGGCTTCCACGCTCTGACACCATACATACCCTCCCGGGCGTAGGAAAGCTGCCGGTAGGTAGGTGCTTTTCTTGCGTTGGTAACCGATGACTCGTAGGAGCAGCCGCTGATGTATTGTCCGCAACACCCGGTATTGTTCGGAACGTTGGACCTATGCCATGCAGCCGTGCAGCAGTGCCTCCATCACCTCGGCCTGGAGAAGGCGAGTCTTGAGTCCGAACGGTGCTCTCGGCCTGTCAAAGAGTATCTCCTGGGCATATCTCCTGACGCACGCCCACGCTGTTCTGCTCTTCCTGTAGTTGATCTCCCGGGCGAGATCGCCATGTTCGTTGACGAGGCCACCTAAGTACCGGAATTGATCCGTCCGTGTCTGGGCGTACCTCTGCCAGACGCTGTCACGATGATTAGCGGTGGCGGCGGGGGGGGGCGATGGTGTTGTTGTCTGATTGATTTAGTCCAGACAAAGTATCTACCAAACTGCCATCACCAACGACAAGTATATTCCACCTCTGTTGGTCCATCCATGTCTGCGACAGTGCTCATCACCACGGAATTTGGTGAACGCTATGATAACAATCGACACAACAGGGTATTCGCCGGTCGATGGTGGACGCAGCTGGGTACATACATTTTAGACTACGCGTGAAATGAAGCTCGGCTCATCGGTCAACGCCCACCCACCGCGTCTTGAAAAGGTTAGGGGTATGCCCTGCCGTGGGCTACTTTTATCCAGAAGTGTACACTTGTTTCGGAAATTGTACCCTGACCTGACGGGAACTCGACCCTTAACCCAGCCATTTCCTCCTCGGGAATCCTTTCCTGAATCCTTCCCCCCCCAACCATGGGATACCTACATACCATTAATTCTTCTCCCCGCTCAAACGACAATAATAACAACATTGTGCGCCGCTCCTGTCACGGCGCCACTCCCTCCTTCCTGATGGTTCATGATGACGGCGTGTCTGTGCGTGCGTGCGTGTTTTGTTGTTTTGGTGTCTCTATCGTGGTGTGCTTGTCTCGCTTGAACTAGTAGTATGGATTGGGCCTACGAACCGACCAATGAATGAAAACAAACGCGACCTCTCTCTACCGACAGGGAGGGTGCAGGAGTTTGACGACACAGCAGTGCCCTGTTTCTGGAGTAGACTCAAGGTGTGTCTGTCCTTTTCCTCCTCGCTCTGTGGCCACGAGCTCGCCGCCATCACACCACCAAACATCTCAACCAACCTGGGTCAGCCTCCCGCTCGTTCAAAGCGTGACCGTATCTGGCACATTGTAGATACTGCAGGTGCAGTTATCTCCAAAAGGAACAGCACCGTTCTTTGTTTAGAACGGGAAGAAGGGTTGATGGTTGGTATCCCATGGCTGACACACACAACTCTAATTTTGAGAGTAGTGGTTAACTCGACGACAGAACAAGCGCCGCTGGTTCAACGACACGCACGTAACAAAACAAAGCACGCATCGCTGTCCGGTGCTCTCTCCCTCTCTCCAATTGTAAAATTTACTGGTTTGCTGGATGGCAGGCGAGGCGGCGCTCTTTCAGCGACACGCTCGCGCTCACTCTCCCTCTCTCTTCTATTGAAAAAGTTAGCATGATGGATAACAGAGGAACGGCGCTGGTCCAGCACCACGATAAACGACAAAACTCACCACGAGACAGCTTTATCGCCCCTTTCTCCTCTTTTGAAAGAACTTGAGTGTTGCGCTTCTTCATCGACGCATTTGCGCTAAAACAAAACAAATCCCGAAAACGGATCCTCCCCTTGTCCTCTTGTCAAATTGGATTGATGGAAGAGATGAGGCCGGGCGCTCGTTCATCGATACGCGCGCGCTAAAGCCAAGGAAAAATCGTTCCTCCCTCTCTCTTTCTGTGAAAAAAATGGCTCGCTGGACGACGTGGCGAAGCGGCGCTAGTTCAGAGAAACGCTACCTCAGACTCTCAACAAACATCGCTGTTGAAATGACCCTCTCTTGCGCTTTTGGATTAACCGGTTTGCTGGACGACAGGCCAAGCAGCGCCTGTTCGAGGACACGCGCGCGATGAAGAAAAAAAGACGATTGCCACACAAAATTCTACCACATACATAACACAAGAAAGTGTTATCCTGGACCGTCAACCCAACATACGAAAGTCAGGCTGGGCCCGATTACTGGTTTCTTATGAGCGGGCCGGTCTGTACCCGGGCAAGAAGGCTGAATACGGAAGCTGATGGGCCAAAGCCAAGTCCGCGCCGGACCCAAAGCGCAAGGCATCGTCTTCTTCGACCATGGTCACCAAAGACGCAAAAACAGCTTAGTCAGTGGCAGCAAAAAAGTCGACGGCCGCGGTGTCCGCCAAACGCAAGACGGACGCACTGAAAACACAAGAGACAACAGAAAAGGCCGTTGTTTCGACCACAAAAACAAAGGCTAAGATGGCCAAGAAGAAGCTGCCTCGGGCTCTGGCCGGGCTTACCTCCAACCTCAATTGGTAACGTTGATGATCTGATTTTCCCATTGTGAGGAGAAAAGTTTAGACGCAGAAGCACGTTGACAGTAAATACAACTGAGCACGACATGCCATCAACTCTTAGCAAAGCCAGCGGTTCCGTCGAGCGTGCGACCACGACCGACATCAACCGAGGCTGTAACGATGCGAACCAGAAACCGCTGTTTGCTGCAGTTGAGGGCTGTAGCGAGGCGTGTGTCAACCTTCTTTTGGGGAGATAAGGTGGGAACGCCAGCATAAGTACGCGTGCTTACGTCAACATGGTCCACGGTTGCCTCCCATCTGCCTACAACGAATACGTGTTCCAAGAAACTCCCCTTGGGGGCACATTCAAGCTGGAAAGCTTTCATTCTCCCAGATTCGCACAATTGCTTCTTAAAGCCGGTGCAGACACGACATCAGAAGTTCGGTTTCTGTGGGACAGTGATGAGGGGGAGGAGGAGGAGGAGTTCAGCGGCACGCCCCTGGACCTAGCCACATCCAATTTTCGCAGATTTAGTGCCAATTTGGAAGTTCACCGTGACTTCGTGGGCGGGCTGAAGGGTGTCACCCGCTTGCTGCAGCGAGTGGAGGCAGTACACGCGGTCTCCTGGCCGTGGCCAATCGACACCGGTCGTCCAGCAGGAAGTAAACGCGAGAAGAAATCAGCATCGATCGGGCGCATGCTGCCGCTTCTAAAGAGGCCGGCGAAGCCTCGGGTGCTCTTGGCGGCCCTGTCCAGGTGCGTGGTGTTGTTGAATTCTTCGGGCGTGTGTTGCGGCCAATACACAATCGGAGGTATTAAACAAATAAACCACCGTTCGCCGCCCCTTTGTTTTCGACAGGTACAACAACAAGCACGATGGAGCTTTCCTCGGGTACTTGCCGGAAATAATGCGGGAGTCAAATACCAGGATGGAACTCAGTTGTCACTTGGGCAAGGTCGGAAGAAGAGTTTCGCGCGGCGGAGTGCTCCGCTTTTTTCTAGGGTGTTTCGCTGTTTACCGAGCTTGGTTTGTGGAACATCGATACAGGGGTTTGTGGCGCGTTTCAATTCTTAGGGAAAAAGGAAGGGGTTCGATCCCATGGCTTTGTCCGAGGTACTCAAGCGGCCTGCTGTCCCAATAGCCGAAACGGGTTGGGGGGGGGGGGCGGAAATAAAGAGCGCCGGTCTAGAAATGAAGGGAGATGGAAAACGTGTGTACGTGTCGCACAACCGGTACCGCCCTCAGACGCTTTGACACTGATCGACCCTTCGACAGGACGCATCGGGACCTTACCAGTGCTCCAAACGTCCGCTACACCGAGTCTACATAATTTCGAGCTCAAGAGAGTGCGAGTTTCTAGTGCTAACAAAGAGCGCAAGCGAAGGCACCGGCAGCCGTTGCCGGAACAGCAGCAGAAGCCTCGAGCACAACAACAGGAGCCCGATCAACGCGTGGAGGAGATCGAGACCAAGCCATCTATCAAGCAACCAGCTCTTCGTTCCGCGAACATTAGCCACGCGTAGATCCGGGGCACGGCGTTGCTACCCCCTCAGTGTCACGCGTCAGTGGATGGGGATGAGTTTTCCATTTCCCAGATTTCAGGATTCATGGGTGTTAAGCTAGGTAGCCAGGCCGGGCAGGTGGGGAGAAGGATGAAGGCTCTGTACACCGCTCGGTGTGGCGCGGTTGCAGGCGATAAAATCCCGAACAGGACCGCGGGGTACAACGGATAAAAAATATTCAGCGAGAACGTGTACGACGCACGTGACCGTGGTATCATGGAGTAGGCGATCCGTAAGGTAGCTCAGACTTGATCAGTTTTTTGTTTTGGGGTTTTTGTCGCACTCTGGCGTAAGTGGTATATGGTGCCACGCGGGCAAGCATGAAACCATTTGTCAATAAACTAAACAACGTAACGCATCAGAACATATATTTACGTGGCATGGTTGAGAAGGTGGTGCACATGGCTTCCCTTCGAGCCATCCGTCGGCGTCAAATCGGGTCCATCATCGAGCAACCGTACAGTTAACGCTACAATCGGCACGGAGTGTGGAATCTGTCGTCCTTTGCGGTACTCTTCTACTACATGTGGATAAAACCGGCGGGGCTTGCTCCCTTCTATTCGCACTTCGCTCTCTCCCCCTCGCCGATGGAAACAACGGCGGTTTGGAAAACGAACGGAGGATAGGCGCTCCTTGCGCTCGTGACTCATCGTCGGAACATCATGGCTGTTTGAACTTTGTTCTCTCCCTCTCTCCGATCGGAGAAATGCTGGTTGGGAGAACGAGAGCGCGATCAGTGTTCATCACGTGCGCGACACATCGTCGAACATCATGACTGTTTGAACATTATTTCTTGCGCGCGCGACCACGCGTCGGGCATATCATGGGTGTTTAAATCACTGTAGAAGAAGATGCTGCGGAACAGAGGGTCGATGCCTCCTTGCGCACGTGACCAAGCGTCTGACACATCACGGCTGCTCGAACTTTGCTCTCTCCCTGTCCCCCCGAGTGCAAAAAATGTCGGCGATGGAACGAGAGCACGACCGGTGCTCTCGCGTGCGAGACAAACCGTTTGAAACATCATGGCTATTTGAACGATGTTTTTTTCTTCTCGCAAATTTGACAATTGCTGGTTTGTGGAACGAACGGAGAATCGATGCCTCCTTTCACGCGAGATAAAGCGTGGGACACGTAATGGTGTGCCAAGTTTTCTCTCTCCCTCTCTCACTTTTTTGTCGGTATGTCGGATACCCCTGAGGGACTGCAACTGCAAATTGACGCGGCGAAGAAGTTTACTGATAAGTGGAGATTGTCTGCCAACGTTAAGAAGAGTGCCGTCACGGTATGCAACGAGAACAAGGAGGAACCAGTAGAACATAGATGGAAGTGGGGGATCGAGGAAATTGCAGTAGTGGACCAGTACACATACCTCGGAGTAGAGATCGCAAAAGACTGCTCGTGGAATGCACACATGTCCAAGGAAACGGAAAAGGAGAAAGCACGAGCAGGGAAGCTGCACCCAATACTCGCAAACCGGCACCTCGATACACGCATCAAATTGACGGTTTTGAAGAGCGTAATCGTACCGAGGCTAGAGTACGCCGGAGAATTATGGGAAGGAAATAAGAAGGTAGTGAAAGAACTCGAGGCGGCGCAGATGAAAGCAGCGAAAATCATCCAAGGATGCTCCAAGCGCACAAGTAATGCAGCCGTGAGGGCAGAATTGGGGATCCAATCCCTACGGTCGGGAAGAGACGCGAGAAAGCTGACATGGCAGTATAGCATGTGCGGGATGGGAGAGGAGAGGTTGCCGAGAATTGTATGGGAGGCGAAGTGGGCAAACAAAAAGAGGGTAGACAACCCACGGAATGGGTCAAGGTTGTAGAGGGCGTATGGAAGGGGCTCGACATCGACGAAGATGAAACGCTGGAGACGGAGGGTCTACAGGGCTTCAAGGAGATATCTGTTGCTTGTGCCGAGAGAGAAGACAAGAATCTAAGGAAAGAAACCAAGGATAAGGAGGGTCTAGAAGTGTATGGAATGTTGAAGGAAGGCATAGGGTTCAAGGATTACCTACATGGACCAATGGATGCAGGAACAAAGCTTAAGGTCAAATTCAGGACCGGGGACATAGGCGTTCGAGAACGTCGACGAAGACGTAGGACGGTAGACGAGGAAGACGACGAGTTCAAATGTGATTGCGGCTTCGAATGCGAAGACCGTGTTCATGTAGTCGCGGAATGTCCGTTGTACAAGAAGGAGAGGGAAGTGTACGTGACTGAGCTGGGAACAATAGATAGGATGTACAGGGAAATGTTTGAGGCATGGAATAGAGAGGAAAGGACGGTAGCTGTACTGGGGTATAGGAGTTGGGTCGATAAGGCGGGAAGGGATATCGTTAGGATAGACAGACTAGGGAAGACATTTCTGAGCCACCTTTGGCAAAGTAGAAAGGAACGATTGGCCATCGGTGATCGATCCTGTGAGAACAATGCTCCGTCCTCTCGAGGACGCGTGGTCAATGGCCTAACCGCTGGGGCATGCAAAACATAAGAGTACGCCGTCTCTCACTTGTGAAACGCTGGTTTGAAGAACGAGAGAAGGATCGATGCTTCTTGCTTGCGCGACCAAGCGTCAGACACGCCATGGATGCTCGAACTTTGCTCTTGGCCCCTCCCCGACTACAAAAACTGCTGGTTTGTGGAGCAAGGGCGTGATCGGTGCTCCTTACGAGCGCAACAAATCGTCGGACGCATCATGGCTATTACAACTTTGGACTCGGCCTCTCCCGGGTTTGAAAATCGCTGGTGTGTAGAACAAGAGGGGGATCGGTGCTTTTCGGGTGCGCAACCAAGCGTGGAACACGCCATGGATGCTTGAACTGTGCTCTCTCCCTTTCCCTGACCTACAAAAAGCTAGTTTGATGAAAGGGAGCAGGATCGGTGCTTCTTGCGCGCGCGACATTTTCTCCGAAACATCTCTCCGAGAAATCATGGCTGCTCGAACGTTCGCTTTCAAGAACAAACTGAGGGGGGTGCTACTTGCTCGCGCGACAAAGCATCGGACACATTCATCATGGCTGTTTGAACTGTCATCTTTCCTTCTGACTTGTGAAAAGCAAGTTTAGCAAACGAGAGAGGGGTCGGTGCTTCTTGCGTGTACGACACATCGTCGGACACATCAAACTATTCGTTTTGCCCTCTCCGTTTCCCCGATGTTGTAAAGTTGGTTGGTGGAACGAGAGCACGATCGGCGATCCTAACCCGCGCGACCAAGCGTGGGACGTCATAGTTTTCGATCTTTGCTCTCTCGCTCTCCCCGATAAATGCATGGCTATTTGAACTTTGGTTTCTGCCTCTCGCAGAGTTGAAAATGCTGGTTTGTGGAACGAACGGGACATCGGCGCTCCTTGGGCGCTCGACCAAGCGTCGGACACATCATGGCCGTTCCAACTTCGCTCACTCTCTTCCGCAATGAATGAAAAGCTGGTTGGTTTGGAAAATGGAAGGGGAATCGGTGCTTCTTGAGTACGCGCCAAAATTGTCGCACTCATCACAGCTATTCGAATTTCGCTCCTTCCCTCTCCCCGGTTACACAAGTGCTGCTTTGAAGAACGACAGGTGGATCGGCGCTCCCTGTGCGTGCGACCAAGCGTCGGACACATCATGGCTGTTGGAACTTTGCTCTCTCTCTTTCGTTGATATACAAAATGTTGGTGGTTGGGAGAGAGGGATCGGTGCTCCTTAAGCGCGCGACACACCGTCGGACACATCATGGCTATTCGAATATTGCTCTCTCCTCTCCCTCCCCGATACGCTACGAGCAATCTTGAAAAAAGGGAGCAAGTTCGGTGCTCCTTGCGTGCGGGCGACAAATGTTGCGGGCGACATTACTCGGACAAACATTCGCTGTTAGGCTTTCTGCCGAAATTAACATGGAGGAGGTTCTGGGTTCGTTCTGCAAGTACGACAAACGTACTCAACACTCATGGCTGTTTGATCCTCCCTCTCCCTTCCATTTCGAAAGACTGGATTGTCGACCAACAGGAGATGCGGCGCTGGTCCAACGATGTGCGGGTGGAACTAAGTGAACAGAGAGAAACGCGGTTTGCTCTCTCTGTCCCGGCAGGTATCAATTGTTGCGCTGTGTAGCAAGACGCCTACCGAATGATTCTCACCTTCTACAACACCACTCCACACCACTTCCTCCTCTCGTGCCCTCTGTCTCCACATCCTGTCTTCCCATCTCCCTCCCTCGGCGCCCTAGCAGCTTCAGTAAAGCGTCGGCACTGCTGTCGGCGACACCGTGCGTTATTCCGCCGCGTTTTGCGTGCTGCTGCCTATCGAGTCCATTTCACAGGGTCACCACCTCGCTGTTGGAACATTCACACACCTCTAAGTACTGTAGGCACGACCTACTAGTCTCATTGATGCACTGTGGACTGTTGAGCAGCGTATCAGATGCTGGTGTGATTTCATGCGCTCACCCGCGATGACAATGTCAGCCGAATGCTTGTGTGAGCGCGTGTTTCTCCCTTTCTGTTTGTGCTTACGCACCAGCCGGGGTCACATGCCAAAAACTCCCGGACCGAACGAAAACTAAGTGTCTATTCACCTTCTCCAACTTACAACAAGTCTTTCGCACCGCTATCAGTCCTGAACCCAAGACAGTCAGATGCTTGGCTTGCTGCCCACCACATGCTAAATGCTGAAGGGTAGTATCGCCTGAAACAGGTGATACCGAATTTTTCAACCTTGTCTTTGGTGATGATCTCCACTAGCTTCTTGAGCGGGTCAATCAGAGCCAATCCTGTCGTGTGTATTGTATGCGTATGGTCGTCAACGTTCTTTGCACAGCTCTCGCACGTGTCTGGTGCTGCAACATTCACACCTTGGCAGCGCAGGCGAGGCACCCCTCCTTTCTGGTACGGGTTGCGACCACCAGACACCAGACGTGCATGTATGTCCTCTGTTCTCCAAAGAATGGCTGCAGTTCTTTCAACAGCAAATCCACCGCATTCAGAGGATCCTGCTGGAATGTTGCTTTCAGTCAGGGTGTAACTTGTCTCATCCCGTCTCCACCGTTACATATGAACCCACATCCTCCCCATCCTTCTCCGGGACCAACACAAGGAAAGGCTTCTCCTCCCGGAAATTCACTGGTGATGGTGTTTGAGGGCGCCTTTCTTCCGCGCGTGTGTCGCGCACATCATGCGGCAGGATATCGGATGTTGGAACCCCGCCTGGTACCCGATACGGTCTCCACGGGAGAGCCAGTTTTAGCGGAGGAAGAAAACCGAACCACGAAAATTAACCCTTGGTATGATGTATCATGTTGTTGGTAGATGCTGGGGCCGGTGTTGATGTTGTCGTCCTCACTGATCTTGCATTATGACCGTTCCGGTGCTCAGCCTCTAAGACCTGAACTGGTCGGCTGACGCCGGACGCCTTTTTGTCCTGTGATCGGTAGGTCTTTCGAGACAAATGACATACCGCCGCCGAATTTCGTCATCGACAGCAACCTTCTTTGTTATCGTCATCTCGAGTCCGATTTTTGCTGTTCTGCCTTGGACTCTTTTCTTAGATAGGGATGGATTCATTGTGTCATATAAAGAAAAAAAATAGACTTCAAAAATGAATTGATGGCGTTCCATGAGGCGGGGTACGGGCAGAGGATGTCTGCCCGCTTGTCCTGTTCGGCAAACACCTCTGCTTGCTACTGCTGTTGTTGCACTACTGCTGTTGTACCCACTCGTTTTCCTCTCTAGTCTGGCACAGCGTCAAACGAGGCCTCCCGCATCGGCACTGACCCGCTTCTGCTCTGGCTTGGTAGACAGAGCTCGAGTGTGCGAGGCGTGCGTGTGCTTGAGGGAGCTGAGGCGAGACAAGACCCTTGAAACCTGGAAGATCCGCGAGCGCTTCGTGGGACCCTCTCTGCTCTCTCAAGGGGCGGGATATCATCTCCTTTCGGCCACCTTGTTTCGCACTTGAACAACCACTGTCCATTGCTGCTGTGCTACTGCTGCGGACGCCTACTCTGTGAGGTGAAGGCTCGGGGACGAAGTTCGTGCCGCATTTTTGGCACCGCTCGTGTTGCTACACCTCCAAAAGTCAAGTTTAACTTTGTGCTTGCGTGCCTGCGCAGAGCGCCGGACAGGAGTGGGCAGCAGGTTGGAACAATACCGGGGAGGAGGGACGAGGGGCACACAACGCCGTGTGCTGGGCGGGTGGCGAGGAGAAAGCGCACGGGCGGCTATGTCTTTGGAGGAATGCAGGACCGACGACATCTGCTGCTACCAAGGTGAGGTGGTCAGGAGAGCGTCTCATGCATGTGTCCTTTCACTGCTGACGGCGTTGGTCGGAAGCACGATGAAGCTCGATTGTCGTCGACAAAAACCTCGTTGTACATGTATACCGTGAAAGCCAGGCAGAGCCCGTTCTCTGGCATTGGAAGGAGGGGGGTGAAGAGGGTTTTACCTGGTTGGCTGGATAAGCCACGTGTAAGCGCAGCGCTTGTTGTGGTCCTCTCAGCAGCAGGGCAGCGGATCGAACGGGACAGCAGTATAGATTGCCCACGACATATAAACCTGGAAAATCATACCATAAATTTTATATTTTGTTTAGACTCTCGGGGTCTCAACTTTTAGTCTCTCCGTATGCGTACATACTTGTACATGAAGGAGCAATAACTGCTGCTGTTGTGGGAGCTTGTCATGATGCACGGTGTCTGTTTTGCTCGGCTTGTGTCCAGATAACCAACAAATATCGTCCGTGCACATTGTCATCGTGCCACCTCTCCGTCGTACATAATCCATGCCAGAAGCCACCGCGCCCGCTTCATGATCACGAGTCTAAATACTGTCGTTTTCTACAAGAACCATATTTCAGACTGCTGTTGTCCAGAGTTTTCTGGGCAAATGTATCTATTAGTACACAAATGGTTCGAAATGGACAACTCTTCCCCCCGAGCAACACAGAAGTCAACCACTACATCAGTGAGTTGCAGCATCTTTATTCAACGAGGGAAGAATAAATAATTTTGGCTTTTCCTGATGAAGCAAGGCCTCACTCGCTGTAGTCGTGTAGACTGGTGGACCAGATAATTTAGGCCGACTCTACATACGCATAGGAACAAGATTGGAACGAAAGCAGGACTGCTGACGCAGCAGGCACTCGGTGCATACCAGGCTTTTGCAAGGTGAGAAGGGTGATGTCTACCGTGAAACCTCCTTGGCTGTCAACCCAAACACCCTGTGTGCTCACTGCAGCAGTAGGCCACAATTGGACGGGCCGTAGACGTTGCCTGCAGGCTTCGCGCGCTTGGGGGCTCGTTTCTACCCTGGCTCCTCTGGGACAGCCTTAAGTTCTTTCTAGCGCGGGACATCAGTCTATGCATGCACCCGTTATGTCTCTTGACGCTGCACATTGTACCTGATTGTAAATGATGAAGTGACAGAGCAATAAAAGCTCACACACACGAGATCTGTGCAATCCTTTCAGCCAACAGGCAAGGATCACTCCAACCTCCGGCAGTTTTGGATTTTTACCCAGACCCTCCTCTCGCTCCATTCTCGGGAAGCTGCAGAATTGCATCTCCCGCCATCTGTCTGTGGCGGCCATCCGGATATGCGGGGTTTCCAGGTCCAAGAGGCGGTATACCAAGGGTGTGGTACGGTATACCGATTCCCTGTTAGACTTGCCTCGGGATACCCGAATATCCCAAGACCTGGGTGTGTGGAATGTCTTGTGTTCCACAAAGCACAAGGTAGTGATGCTACCCGATACGAAAAAGTGGAACCGGGTACCCGTTAGAGGTGGAACCGGATCTGGTACCCGGGGAAGGGGTCGCAGTGAATGAAAAACACAGCGTACCCTCCACTTGTGGGGGGGCCGTACCACCCAATGGGGGCGCAGGGTATGCATGTCAGGGTGTACCCCAAGGTTTGAGACGCCGTGTATCGAAGGCAAAATACCGGGCGGGTATTGGGCTCGTACCGGAACCTTACGGGTACTGCCGGTTCCGGACACTCGGTTACCCAGGTACTTTACCGGGTATCCATGCATAGCATCTCTAGCATCAGGCATCCACCTCCCGGGTAGGTAAGGTAAGGCACCCGCGTTCAAAATGTCCGCGTATCGTTGGTGTTTGGGTAACATCCAACTTTGTACCGAGCGCACATCGTGACCATGAGCACTGCGCGCAAACACCGAGGAGAGTGGTATCTACTGCAGTCTCCCTCTTCGCTTCTTGCGCGCGTTACTTCACCCGGGTCACGTCCTGTGCATCTACAATACCACCGCCGCTTTCCACCTTTCTGCTTGTTTTCTTTCGAAAAAAAACACGCTTCAGACGACTCGGGCGCGCAGAGCCTCCGGCACATCGCGGCGGGCCTCGCGGCGGGCCTGGCCCTCTGCCTCGCGGCGCTCCTCGTGGCCGCGGTCGCCTGGAAGCGCGCCTCCGGCGGCGACTGCTTCGGCGGCAGCCACACTAAGGAGAGCCCCCCCTCCGGCGGGGGCGGTGGCGATGGCGGCGGCAGCGGTGACGAGAACACGACGAGATCGGCGCCGTCCTCGTCGGCAGCGGCGGCGGAGGCCGGGGGGGGCGACTCGGCCCCGCCCTACCAGGCGGCTGTGGCGGCGCCGAACGAGCTGCTGCTGCTCGCGGCCGAGGAGGGCTACGCCGCCACCGCCGGCAGGAAGAGCGGCGGCGGCGACGGCGGGGAGGAGGACCAGAGGACCACCAACACGGAGAGGTGCAACGGCGGCGGCGGGGGCGGGCAGAGGCCACAGCTTGATCTGGCCGTCGAGGAGGAAGGCCGCGGCGGCGGCGGCGGCGGCGGCGGCGGCGGCGGCGGGCGGAATCACGCCACTCGTGCTACCGCGGCGAAGCAGCAGCAGCACCAGTACCGCCGGTCGAACTCGGGCGTGAGCCTCAGGAGCCTCAGGAGTGTCGGGAGCCTCAACGACATGCAGCACGCACTGGTCCGGTGAGTGTCGGTTTTTTGTTTGTTCTACGGTGATAGTACAGGTTACCAGCTGGCCACCACTTGCTGACTTTTTCCCACTTGTATTTTCTTTATTGCGCGCGCAACCCTCGGGTCCTTGTTTTCTCTGTGGATTATCAACAGCTGCGTGTGCTTGGGCTTTACGGGTTCATGTGCTTGACGCCCAAAGTTGAAAAACTGGCTCTATACCCCGGGGACGTGTTCCGCACGAAGAAAGCCTTCGCAAGAAACAAAAGAAAACTGCTTTGCATAAGCAGGAAGACTTTTGATTCCTGCGCAACCCACACAAGTCCCACAGACCATGGGCAACACGTATCCAAAAGAGTGAGTAATCAGACGCAGCGGGTTACAGCAGTAGGACATGCAGCAAAAGACGCCGCTAGCCTAAAAAGGGCACACGCAAGCACACCCGAACAGTCACCGTTAGGGAAAAATATGAACAGTCACCGTTAGGGAAAAATATGCCGCGTGCGTGATGGAAATTCTAGGTAACTTCTACCGGTTACACGCAAAATCGGCACATCCGAACGTCATACCGTTGAGATGCAACTACGATGCGACCTCAATGGCATTGGCCATGTCCGCTTGCGTCGCTCCCGGGAGGCAAGGCACCTAACGCCCGAAGGGAGCCTTGTAAATCCTTGAACAGTAACGAAAAGTGCACCCTGGAAATCTGGTCGGCCAAGGTTCTTGCGCGGTGGCCGGTACGGTTGTACTTGAGGTTGGTTCACTTTCAAGTGTTGCTATCCTGAGTGTTGCTATGCTTGCACTGGCTGTAGTGTGGATCACCAGGAGGCGTGAGCACTACACATGTGATGTACACGTGACAGCAAGCAGTGGACTCTAGCCAGGAGGTACACTCTCCATCCCGGTACAATTTCCAGCCAAAGTATTTAGGAAAGGGAGGTTCATGAAGATTGTTTTGTACAGCTCTCCCTGTCCTGTGCCAAACAACCCATGCGTGATTGTTCCGATGGTCCCTTCGATTCGTCAACTCCTTTTCCGTGCAGACAGCAGTGCTCGACTTGTATTAGCTGGGCTTGTTGTGTTGATGCCATGGCTGATGTTCATGTAGCGTTTCAGAAAGACCAATTTGTCTACAGAAGGGGTGTGGGCGTGCTGGAGGTTTGCCACCACCGCGGGCACAAGGATAAGAGCATTTTTCTCTAGGGAACGCACGCGCTTAGGGCATGACGCGTAGAACTCAATTCATTGCAAGGCCTGAGCTCGACGTTATTTATTTATTTATTTATTTCTCCCATCATTGGACTCTGTCGTCTGCCCCTCTGGCCCCTATCCCCCACTTCTACCAGCTAGACGACCCAACCGGGGTCACACAGGAGGGGGGGGTTGGACCCCCTCCTGCGGTTCCCGCCTGAGATATTTTTATCGCGAGAAGGGTACAGCAACCCCTTCCCTCGCGACCTACGAAGTCGATTATGGTTTACTAACAACGAGCTTTGCAGCGCGTCGCTTTCATCCTAGACCAGGATTTATTCAGTGAGAAAAAACTCACGCTTCCGGGACTCGAAACCATGACCTGGCCCTTAGCAGGCTGCGAGGGTACCCACTAGACCACCGGGGCGACCGGGTACTTATCAACTGTTGAATATATAAGTTGCTACGCACGCAACGCAACACAACACGGTCGAGAGACTTCTCTGCTGTTTGGTCCACAAATTTCGGACTTGTGTGTGCTAGCGGGATTGACAGCAAGCGGGTGAGAAAGAGTATCTTACCAACCCAGTTTGACAGCGCCTCCCCCCCCCCCAACCTGTCCAGGGAACCGCTTTCCCCGGCATCCACAGTGGGGCAGGACGACATCCAACGCCTGCGTTCGCTGCTGGATACCGAGCGTTCCCGCCGCATGGCAGCCGAGACAGCCCTCAGCGTCGGCGGGGGGAGCGTGTCGTCCCGCCGCTCCGGCATGTGTACGCCCCCCTCCGTCGGAGGGGGTGGGGNGGGGGGGGGGGGACTCCCCAGTCCCGGTCGTCCTCCTACGCGTCGTTCAACAAGCAGGCGTTTGCTCGAGACCTGGATCAGCACGGCCAGGAGGTGACGTCGCCGAAATCAATGCCCCCCGGCGGCGGCGGCGGCGGCGGGTTCACCACACCCGGCAGGAGCAGAGGCGGGGCGGGCGGGGCACCCACGACGCCCGCTCGCTCCTACTTGAGCCTCTCAAACATGCACATTGGGACTCCCAGGGCCCCCCGGCTCTCGTACTCTGCCCTCCACAGGTTTCCGAGCGCGCGGGCCGTGGAGGCGCACGCCCTGGAGGCTTCGTCGAACGGGGCCAAGTGGGCGCGGAGTGCGATCTCGAGGGCAGGCGGGGGGGATGGCAGCGGTGAGACCAAAGCGGAGCAGCTCTACAGTTCGGTGAGTGGAGGGATGTTGACGTGTGGGGTGGGTTTTGTATTGAAGAGCGTCGTTTCGCGGGAGGGTCTCTGTTTTTGTGCTGGCTGTGTTCGATTTTGCGTGATAAGTCTAGTCGTGATGCGGCTTAAGTAGTGCATTCAGCTGTTGTGCTTTTCGTGTGGAAATCACAGTTGTGCAGGGCATGAAAATCACAGCTGTGCAGGGCATGAAAACCACAGCTGTGCAGGGCATGCCTGCTGCTGTGTTTTCTCTTGATCTCCGGTTGTACCATATGGCAAACGGGGTACGCGTGTGTTGGCACACGTTCGTGTTGTTGTTTTTTTGGCGAACACCAGTTGTGGCCTCGAACGCACTTGCATCGTCCTTGCATACTATGTGGTACATACAGTATGGGGAAAAGACAAAGAGAGGGAGCACATCCAACCAGCGAGAATCGGGTTCCGGCGGTCACAAAGCCACGGCACCAAGCACGAGGAAATTAAAACATGGCACGAGAATGGCGCGTGAGGGAGTCCGTGTTTGGTACCATGTACCCTAATACCCCACCGAGATTTCGGCGTGCCTTGCGTGCTTTGTTGTCCGAAGCGTTGCTCACCCTCTGTTTTTCCGCCTCGTGAACGGTGCCATCATCAGCTCGGGCAGCCGCAGCAGAGCCGGGAGCAGAAACAGAAGATGCTGCTGTCCGTGGTGACCAGCATCCTCGTGCACCTGTTCCACTGCTGCCGCGTGGAAGTGAGGAGGAGGCTGCGGGTGAGGGTTGACGGCCTCCGGGCCTTCGTGGGAGAGGCCGAGTTCGTACAGCTTGGTAGCATTGTCTCCGGGCCGGGGACGGGGGGGCCCAAAGCCTCTCTAGCAGCGGCGGCGGGAGCGGCGGGTGCGACCCCGGGGGGCGTGATGGCCCAGGACACTCACGAGCTCCTCTACGGCGAGCTGAGGCGGCGGCACCGAACGATCGCCGGGCTGGGGAGGAAGGACCTGGTGACCCTGTCGGCGAGGGTGCTGTCCCGCGCGCTCAAGACCGAGGCAAAGAAGGAGATCGGGCGGATGCTGGTGCACCAGACGTGGCCGACTTTTGAGCCAGTCGTTCGGTCCTACCTCGCGCTGTTCGTGGAGGTGAGTTTTGTTGGATGTTGGATGTGGGGTGGTTTTAGGGTCGGGTGGAGTGTATACGGCGCGACACGGCCGTACGTGCAGCAGTAGATAGCGAGCTAAAGGTTTGCTTTTCCAGCCCACCCGCGGACAAAGCCGTTAAGCGCGTATTGATGTCGACAAGAGTATCACACTTGTGAGGGGTGAAAGATGATGTGCTCGCAAGCAGAGTTATTCCGCCGGGGTAAGCAGGAAATAGCAATGAGCGCCACCCCGCGTACTGCTGTTTTGTAGCAAGGGAAGCATGTTGCTGTCATCGACGTCCACAATTCCGACGGTCTTCAACACAACAAGAGACCCTACAACACATCGGAGAGTATAACCTCCCTCCCCCCCCCCCCCCCCCCCCCCCCCCCCCCCCCCCCCCCCNATAGTACGCCCCCCCCCTGGTGGTCGAGTAGATTATGTTGTGCGGGGTCGAGAACCCTCTGCGCAAAGGGGATGATCGCACCACGTTGTGTGAAATTGGTCGAGCACTCTCGAGGCAGTTTACACAATGCTTATGACTGTCTCTGGAAGTGAAAGCACCAGAAAATGAATTACGTCATACGCAGCTGTCATTGTGTCATCCGTACACAAAGAAGTAAGCACAAGATGCCAAACACCCTTAGTAGGATGCAACGCACCCTTCATGCGACTCGCCGACAACCTCAGGGAGCTTCGCGCTTGGTGATGAGCCTAGTCCCGTGATAACCCAGCGTGCTCCTTACCGGCTTTGTAGGATGCGAGGTCAATGGTCTAACGACTACGGCATGCACGACTATGAGTACACCCCCCTCCCTCGGACTGCCCATCGAACCCAATCTCAGTGTGCCCTCCAGGAGCCTCAGATCGAGTTCGACGAGGCGGCGGGCAAAGAGGAACCGTTCGACCCGGAGAAACACCGCCCGCTGGCTAGCTTTTCCGCGCCCGCTTCCCCGAGAACCAGCACTACGGGAGAGAGGGGGCCGGGCCTGCAGATAGACTCGGACACCCTGAATCCGGGGTTCGAGACCGACGATGACAGCGTCGAAAGCGGCAGCGATGTGGATAACAACAACGCCAGCCCAAGGCCCTGCTGCATCGTGTTTCCGGCCGTGATCGCGAGCATCACGAGGTGGCCACCGTCCAAAGCGGCGAAGAGCGGGGTGATATTGTACTGAGCTATCCCGAGCGTTTCGTGATCTGACGGGTGTGTTTTGTGTGGAACTACTGCCGTCTGCGATGCTCTTTTGAGTTTGTGGAAGCGGAAGCCGAGCAACATGATTGGTTCCGGGCGCACGGAGCTGGTCCCCGTTTACGAGCGACGGGCCCATGATTTCGACGTTTTTCGGGTACTGCTCCGCGGTCGGCCTCCTCTGGATGCGGTCGAGAAAACAGCGTGGTTCGTTCTTGGGTTGGAGGCCGCCAACAGGCAAGAATATGAATTTCTCGCCTTCTTCCACCTGTTGGCTGACCCATGGGGCTAGGACGGCTTCCAAGGTACCAGTGGTTTATCGGCTTCCCAGGTGGTGATTTGGCTTGGGGCTTGCTGGTGTTATGACCAATTTGGCGGAAGAAGCGTCCCTCGATGCAGCAGCAGCTCTCGCTGATGACGGCCTTGAGGCCGCTTGTTCGAGATGTAGTCCGGCAAACGGGACTCGAGGAAGAATCCTGTTCATGTTGTCATTTGAGACTGTTGTGGGAGGCACGGTTCGTTGTGTGTATCGATCGCCGTGGTCGCGGCAAACATGGTGGGTATGGTTGTTTCAGGCAGTTGTCGGTTCTTGCGAATCTATCTTGGTTGGGTTGCAGTTATAACTTCAACTGCTGTGTTTTTTGTTTTTCAGCGACCAAGTTCTTTTTATGTTCTTTGGACACGACTCTTTGCAGGGGGTTTCATTGTTGTGTTTGTAGTGGTGGTGCTTGTTTTTTTTTTTCAATTGGCCCGTTCATTCTTCGACAGAGACACGTGTACGTCGTCACACTGGCGGAGGAGGAAAACGTATGGTAATTTAGGTGAAGACTCAAAGAACTCAAACGTGGGCTCTTTCATGCTGTAGGTGGGGCTAGAACGTCCCTCGGCACGTGGGCACACAATATCGTTTCTGTTGGGTGTGCCGTTTAGAATACATCCAGGATATTGCAGTTTTTCTTTTTTACGAACCAGGGACAAAGACGGTCAGATGATGCTTGCATCGGTTGATCGGTTTGGCGTGCAGGCGCTGGTAGTGCAACTGTCTTTGTCGGGCCTGCCGCGTGCCGTTGGCGACTTAGCAGACGCTGATTTGGTTTTGATCGTCGTCTCTGGCTGAGAATAGACAAAACTTACAGACCTTACAAAGTTTCCGTATTTAGAGCGGCGAGATGGAGGGGGGGGGGGGGGGGAGGTTCCGCACCTGGTCTGGGATGTCTTGAGGAGAAGCCCAACCTCGAGTTCTCTGCTCTCGCAAACGATGTGATCCTCTGCTGTGGTACCCCGCGGAAGGCGCGCTGTGCGAACAAATCATGTTGGAAACTGGCGGATTTCCGGATGTTCCTGTGACTGTTGAGCTTCATGGTCGTGTACCGTAGGTGTCCGTTGCAGCTACGTTGAGCTGTCTAGGCTGACACCATTGGTGCACAACAGCTGGGTTACCACAATTAGCAGTGCTATGGGAGGGATTGTTTCAACTCGCAACCGGGGTCCAGGTGGGTGGGATGCTGTGGAACCTGTCGTTCGAGTGCGCCGGTGGTGTTTTGGACGACGCAGAAGAGTGTAGGCTCGCATCCGAGGCCCCGCGGGCGACCTTTCGTGTTTGTGTCCTATTTCACGTGTGTGTGTGTGTGTGTGTGTGTGTGTGAAACTCGTGGGAAAATCGAAAACGAACGCGGAGCCGTTAGGTCGTGTCAGAACTTTGGATGGGAGCGACTGGGAAGAGGGGTTGGAAGGACGGGATGTGCAGGTGCCTGTCGTTGCTGTGTCCTATTATAGCTTCTTGCCATCACTCTTTACTCGCTGCTGCCAGCGTTGCGCGATCGAGAGAAATTTGAATTCGTGTTTTGGTAGGCTCTCCTTCCCCTTCCCTCACCTCGCCCATGCGAACGCGAGGGATAGCCATTTCTCGCATGTGGTACGATGTTGTGTAGGTCGTTCTGGACGTGGAGAAAAGGCCTTGTGAACTTGGAAGCCCTTCTGAAGTTTTGGATGTTAGGGTTAGCGGTGTGTTCCCGATTGAGACGGAGCCCTGCTTTTTTCTCGCCTGTTGTTCTGTACGATACGAACGTTGTGTTTGCGTTGGCTTGGTTGTTGGGTTGCCGCGTTGTCAACCAACTCTGTTTGCCAACATGTGTATGATCGATGAGCGTCCGATGCGCGACCGCGGCAGCTGTTGGTGTGTTTGTTCTCGGCCCGGCGTGTGCTTAGACGTCCTTGTTTGTTGGATAGGTTGTTCGTTTTGTTTGTGCTTGCCTCTGCTTTGGCTTTGCCGTGTGTGGCGTTGTCCCGTACTTGCGTGGCATGCTCGCTCCTCGTTGGATCGCGCAGGCTCGCTCTCATTCGATCCTCTTCGCTAGGGTTCGCGGGACCTAGTCGTTTTGTTAGTGGCAAAACCTTTGGAACAGACGACACGCATGGTGAACGAACAAAGGGAGCTGCTTTAGTGTGTCAGTGGAGGGACGTTTTGTTCGGGAGGCACAGCGCAATCAAATCGTGCTGGCATCAAAGATGTGAGTCCTTCATATATATACATACAATATCTAGATCGAGAATGTCGAGAAAGGAATGTTCGTTTGCTAGTTTACAGGGCTCGATACTCTGGATTGCAACTTCGTAAGGTACGCGGCCTTGCCTGAGAATTTAGTCCACTTGGTGTTGCGTGTACCGTGCTGGACGGTTGTGTGGTATGAGTCGATGCTTTCAGGCCAACACCCGAAATATGTGCCGGTCATGTTCCTCAGGAACGGTAGTTTAAGTGCCAAAAGGCAACAAGTGGGAGTATCGCGAGGCTTTGTGGCAAAACCGGTGCCAGCCGTTTTTCACTTTCTGATCAAAGCGTACGAACGTGTTCGTCGCTCTCGTCGTGGTTGGAATCGAGAGACTAAATGCCGGATGCAAGTGTTGTGAAGTTTTCCTTGCAGTGCATTCGGGTCTGTATTTCCGTCGCTGGTGCGTTTTTCCCGTTTTCCTTGTGTCAGCCCGAAGCAGACTTGGAATTCATCTGCCAAATCCTTCAGAAATAGGCTCGAAAACAAGAAAAGACTACGGTAGTTGTTCACCGAGTTCCGCCTCTTATGCACGGGAACGGGTCTTATTCCTGGGAACGGGATAAAAGGTGCATGCTTATCTTCGCTTGGACAGACGGGGACAGGAACGAGGAGGGGGGCTTGCATGCATCGGGTGGAGAGTGAAGGAAGAGAACGGGGGTTATTGCTGTGTTGTTCATGTGGAGTTGGGGGGCTTCATCTAGAGAAGAGCAGAGTCAAGGAAAAAACATGTAGGTAAGGCATACAAATGCGGCGCTCTATTGGCACATTGACGGACGGTACGCAGCAGTTTGTCACGTTGGTTTCGGCACATCGACAGTAAGCTTCATGGTTATTAGGACGGGTTATCAGGTGCTACTTTGAGTGGTCATTTATGTTTTCGAGCGACTGAGGGGAGGTGGCGTGGCATTGCGGGGCATGGGGCGGGGTGTGGAAGGTAAATAAGACGAAAGAAAGGGATACTTTCGTCCACGACATGAGGATTTTCATGGGGAATTGCGGAACACCCAGAGCAACTGATTTCCTTTTTGTCTTTGTGAAATACTTCCTCCGCCCCGTAAGATAAGCCCGGTTCGAAAATCCAACTGCGTAAGCCCGACGTGAAATGTTGCGATTACGTGCCCAAAACGGGTGTTTTGAGCGTCTAACCTTCAGCATGTGGTCTTCATATGGTATTCGATCATACAAAAAAAAACAAACATTTTTGACCCAGGGGATCAATTGTTGCCATCCCCCGGCGTGAAAAATTGAAACCCGGGCGTATGTAATGAGATTTTCCACAGGAGAGGGCCAGTTTTCGCAGAACTTTGGCGTACTACGCGATACAGCCCCCCCTCCAAGAAAAATTGTTGATGTTTACATCAATGCCTGTATGTTATTATACGATTAGGGACGTGTATACGAACAAAGGGACCTTCGAGACGCGGGGACAGCATGATTTTGGCCCCGGGAGGAGCAGATGTATCCCCAAATCGGTTGTGTACGGCCGATTTCAGAAAAGTGAAGAACGATAGAGCGACACACATTTGGTTACATAGCGTCCATGATGTTGAATGCACACTTGAAGCAAGTTTTCAGTGAGACAACAACAATTTTGTCGCAATTACGGCAGCGGCAGGCGAGTTCCCAAGCAGCAGCGAACACCAGCAGTGTAACTTCAAATGCTTTGAGGCAACGCCGCGAATCTCCAGTCGAACGCTAAGCAACTGATGACATTCATGAAGAACAGCAACTACAGCAGCAGCAGCAGCAGAAGCAGCAGCAGCAGCAACAGCGGCGGCAGCAGCGGCAGGACCACCAGCACCAGAGGCAGCAGCAGCACTCCCTGAAGCACTTGATCTGCCTGATACAGCAGCCGAAGATGCGCCGACAGCAGTAGAACCAACGCCGACAGCAGCAGCAGACCCAACAGTAGCACCAGCAACAGTCTGGTTCGTTGACATGATGCCAAAAGCTCGAGAAGGCGATCCACAGGGTGCCCTCGCTTGTTGGCGGCTGCTGCCTCTGGGTCTGGCTGCGGTGTGCTCAATTAGTGATGAGGTGGTCGCCTCGGCAAAAACGACGGTTTTCGGAGTTTCTTCGAAACGCCGCGAGAACCGTGAAAAACACCGTTTCTCCGAAATCAGTTGGGAACGCTCACTTCGGTTGATTTCCCTTGTTCGCGACCGACACCCTCTGCTTGCCGAGAGTAAAGGTGCTTGTATTCACGGGGGCTCAGAAAAGATTTCGGTTTTGAGCTTTGCTCGAAAACTTGAGGACAGCAGCAACAAAAAACGNAAGGTGCTTGTATTCACGGGGGCTCAGAAAAGATTTCGGTTTTGAGCTTTGCTCGAAAACTTGAGGACAGCAGCAACAAAAAACGCTTCAAAAAAGTCGATGAATTGAACGACATTGTTGAGTAGCTTGGTGCGCCCGGCGCAGTTGTAGACGGCAAAAACAAAAGAACCGCGCGGCGAGTTTGCCGGCAAC